CCCTTTATTATGATTATGGGGGAGTATATGATTATTCGGTACTTGGATCCTTAGGGCACCCTAACCCCTAAACCCTAAACCTTAAACCCTAAACCCTAAAACCCTAAACCCTAAACCCTAAGACCCTAACCCCTAAACCCTAAAACCCAAAACCCAAAACCCTAAACCCCTAAACCCTAAACCCTAAAACCCTAAACCCTAAAACCCTAAAACCCTAAACCCTGCGGCCGAGGCTGCTGCGGCCTCGCGCAGCCCACTGGTTGCCCGGCCGGATGGGGCTCGGCGGGGGGCCCGGCCTGAAGTCAAGGAGGGGTTTAGGGTTTTAGGGTTTAGGGGTTTAGGGTTTTAGGGGTTTAGGGTTTAGGGTTTTAGGGTTTAGGGGTTTAGGGTTTAGGGGTTTAGGGTCTACGGGTTTAGGGGCTTTGGGTTCAGGGGTTTAGGGTTTAGGGAAAGCGGCAATTTACAGCGGGCTTGATAAATGGAATAGGGTTCCTTTACTGTTCCTTGGGTTCTATAAGGGTTCTATCGTGGTTTGTGGGAATCATACAGGACCCTGATAATTAGAATAGAGTTTTTCGCCACATTGTACTGTAATTGTGCCAGAGACTATATAAGGTGTAGCCGGTAGCAAATGCCAATGAATCAGGCTTCCAAATCAGGGCATAATCTACTACTCCGATAGTACATTAACGAGAACCGCGATTTGGAAGAAACTGTCGCTGGCATCATCGGCGTACGACACATCTTCTGTCCGATGCCTTGCGTTGTGGGTACGGTAGAGTCGCTGGTGCCGGCATCGCTTCATCGCCACTGAATTTAGAGTTCCGCCATTGTGGGATCGTCGCCGTCATGCTCCTGCTGGCGCTTCTCCCCATCCTCTCCAACGCCGGCCCAGTGCTACTATTACCCTCACAGTCGTCTTCATGATCATCAACATCAGAAGCAGATGGGGTAGCCGCTGTCAAAGCTCGAAGGAGCGACCTGGTTGCCCTGCCGGGTGGGTTCGACCCTCGCTGGTGCGTTGGGGGACCTTTCTAACAATCTCGGCGCGAGACGACCGAACTCGCCTACTACTGGCCAGGAGAACTGCAAGTCCTTGGCCCTGAAATCTGTCTGCATTCAAGCACAGCCCCCCTACGAACAGCTCGGCTTCTGGCGGCTGCAAGATAACATAGTTTGCACCTTGGCAAGCACTGCGAGGTTGTATGAGTTTGTGCATACCCTCCCAAGCAGAATCGGTGATTGGAGTCTGAGTTCTCTGAACTGCAGTCATCCTGATCTGCCTCAACAAAGCGCCCCTCTGCCCGAGAGGAGGTGCACAGACCAAGGGCGGCACGCACTGAGGGCATCTGCTGCCACTCCTGGCAGTCAGAGTCATTCCCCCGTCATTAGCTCCGAAGAGTAGTCTGTTGGAACATGACCTGTGACTCTGGTGCCCTTGCAGGATACGGACTTTCTAAGGAGAGCACACTTCAAACCTCCATCTCAGACTCCCCTTTCGCAAACTTCTCTCACACCCACTCTTTACCGCCCTGGTGACCCAGCAAATGTTGCCATACTGCCTCAGTGGTCATCGAGGAGGCCTGAGCTAGCGCGGCTGTAGCAGAGGCGGGCATCTTCAATGCCCAGAATTCGGATGAAGGAACTACACTTCAAAAATTTCTGCACCGAACATCCAAAAGGTGCAGCGACCTGAGCATTCGGATTCGTGGCTCCGGGTTGCAAGGCTCTGTTGTAGCTCCGTCTGCTGGTATGTCGTGGCGCTTCCGTAGTACTCAGCTTCGGTCCTCTTTCCCGTCCTTCGTGGCGAGGATGATATCCCGGAAGGAGTACCAGTAAACACCGGTCGCCTACCGCATCGTGGGAAATGCTGCATTTTCATGTGCCTGCGCATGAGTTCCAGATTTCGATGTTCCGAACTGATGACCATGCAGGCCCAGGTTCGAGATGTGAGATCGCATTTGTTGCCCGCCCCTCAGGAGCGCCTCGTGGCGATTCGGAACATGCACCAGTGCTTCACCTCACAGAACTCGGACTCGAAAGTGACAAACATATCGCTGATCACTTCTTGCCAGAAAATCTACGTGATCCTATGCCACTGCGCCGGGGAAATGGTCAAACAATCTCGTCCCAGAAAGCCACAGTGGATCGACGGAAGAAGCCGAAATACTGGCTTCATCTGCCAGAAGCCCCTACATACGTCAAGGCTGACAACATCTGCCCTGCGCTGCACCCACCTAAAGCCGTAAAGCAGGAAAAGCACCCACATCTCGCACAAACCCCAGAAGACACTATGCAAGGCAGGGGGTTTGGGTCGGTTTGGGTCAATGCAGCAACGAGACCCACAGTGCCGGCAAAAACAGCTTGGGAGAAATTGGCAGGGCTGCCGAACAGCTAGCCGCTAGCCCACTAGCCCAGGCAACGGCAACACTGAGGTACCATCCTGCAGAGATCCAGTCTTCACTGACCCTATAAGCTCATCACCGTAGCTATCAATCATGCTGATCTCGCCCGTCGCCTTAGCACGCAGCTTGGTCGAGCCGTTGTAGTGGCATGAGATTTCTCGGAGAAGCAACATCTTTGAATACCATGCCTTTGCTGCGAACCTGGCAGGGTGCGAAGTCAGGGGCCCTCGCCCCATTTCGCAGTGGCCCGAAGGTGTCCTGCGCATCCTGGCTCATTGTGACGATGTCGAACAGCTTCGGCCTCGGCAACGTGGTCGGCGAGGCACTCAATTTGCTCGAGGCGGCTGTAGCAACGTGATCGAGTCTAAGTTGCAAGCACTCCGGCGAAGGTCCTGTCCTCTGTGGCTTCGGGGTCCTGCAAAAGAGCCTTATTTTTCCATGGTGGCAAGGTTGTTCGGCTAAAGAAGCGACAATGCCACTGGAAGACACCCTCCACTCCGTCAAGTACCAAGGAACGCATCTTACCCCGTGCTACAAGTGGTCTAGACAGATGCCATCATACCGGCAAGACATGAAACGAGATCCCGGCACCAGATGACCGGATCTGATCTGCGATTGCGGCCGCAGCATCCTCCGTCATCGAGCAAGATGCCGTGAAATCAGTTGCATGTCTGTGCCTTGAGTGTCTCTTCCGGCTCGAGCACAACAGTTCCCGTGACTAGTGCCACAGTGCTCTCCACACTCTTCGCCGAGGGTCCTCCGTCTGGCGCACAGCGACCTGCTTGCTGCATGTCATCACGCGACGCGGAGCTACAGTGGGACGTTGCACGCTCCATTTCTCTCTCTCTCTCTCTCTATTTCTTTCTTTCGCCAGGGCTCTGGGCAGGTGTTTCCCCCTTGCCTCTCTCTCTCTCCCTCCCTCTCTCTCTCTCTCTATCTCGCTTCTTCTCCGGACCACGGGAGGGAGGCGGGTTAGGCCTCCCGCACCGGCTCGCACACTCAGTGGCGTTGCGACGGCGGTGCACAAGCATGGCGAAAAAGAGCTTAAACCCAAGTTTGGCGAAACAAGAAAATGCCGAATCTCCCTATGGAGCAGACTAAGCTCTTCTGCTCGACAGGCGGATGACGGCAAGTACAAGCGTCGAATTATGCTTGGTTACGCTCTCTCCCTCTTTCCCTCCCGGGTTGAAAGCCGCGGCACCACAGTGCCTAAGTTGCTGCAGAGGCACAATGGCTTCGTCACGGGTCTCCTTGAGCTTGCGGAATAGAGTGGCCTCCGACGAATCTACCCACAATGCAAACTTCCGCATCTGGGACTCAACACGTCACGTTCGAGCACGAGCAAATCAAACCCTAAGCCTTCGAGTCCTTCTAAACCGCTATACAAGCCCCTGCAGCTCAAATGTATCAACCCAAACTCGAAACCATGAAATGCAGAAAGTAGCCTTGAAATGCCGCTTTCCGCCAGCGAAGCCCAGGGATTCGAAAGACCTTGCCAGGCCGCTGACCTCTGAGCAAGAAACTGCCTCGTCCTTTAACACTTCAGAGTTTGATTACTTCTCCAAGATTCAGCCCTAAGCAGTGGGTGCTCACGCAATATCTCTACACTGGAGGCTTCTGTGGTTTATGGAGGGGCCTTCGGAATCCTCGAGTACTTGGAGTGTACATTGAGGCCCTGAAAAGGTTCATGAACAGGGCAACTGATTTTAGGGTCAAGGACTTTGGGTGGGGCCTCCAAGGCTTACAGGATTTAAGGCTTACAAACCAGAAGCAGCCAAGCTCGAGGCCACTGACTTCAGGTGTTTCTTCCAAAGCCGCTTGGAGATGAAAGCATCGTCTCCTCTGCACCATGAAAACTTTGGAGACAAAGTAAGGACTCGGGGTTGCTACGCTTTGCGATTTTCCTGTGGGCCCCCCTGCAACCCTAACACGTGCGACCCTAAAACCCCAGTCCCCAAAAGGAGCTGCCCCTTGCAATCACCGCCATCTGTGGCTGAGTTGGGAATCGGGCTGTCGAGTTTCGGGTCCAGTAGAGATTTGACAAACATGACTTATCTAAGGGCTTTAGGAGGGACCCTTAACAGGGACTCTTGTAGGTTATTGGGGTTAATATGGAGACTACCTGGCTATATAAGGGTAATATAAGGACTATACAATGGTTATTTAAGGTAATGGGATTAAGGGTCAATATTAGGGGTCCCTCCTAAAGTCCAGAACTTAGTCGCAACCTGCAGAAACCTAACCATCTAGTATGATGGCCCTGCGAGGCGGTATTGACTCGACTACGGGAAGACAAATTGCGGCTCTGCAAGAATCCAGAAAAGGAGCTTTGCTTCTTTTGAAGTCTCTTGTCTTTCGGCCCTTAGACTTTGAACAAAGGCCAAAGTGCGCCCCTCAACCCGCCATGGGATTCTTAAAGAATTCCGACTTACTTTTCCCCACAAGCTGTTGAGGGCGTGCTCCTATTCAGCTGGTGAAACTTGATATCAGTGGTCCTGTGCTTACTCCCCAACCCTGGTGTCAGACTGTTCTAGAGGCAGGTCTTCATCCTTCCTGTAACCTTGCCGTAGCATTTCATCATTGCCCGGGCCCCAGTTCGTTCCGACCTTACTCTTCTCCGGCCCACTCGAGTCCTTCACGGCCGCCCATCTCGTCTTTGATCAGCCGCTGGCGCTCTTCAGTGAGGCCTGGGGCTGACTCTCACCGCGCACATGTCCTGCAGTGGCAGAACCTCCTGTCCAGTCTTCGTCCCAGCGCAGGTGTCGCTTCAAAGTCTTTGGCTTCAGAATTGAGGTTCGCGATTTTCGAGCGGGTGTTAGTGAGCGTTGAGGGTGTGTGGAGGCCCATCATGTCAGGGTTGAGGTCCAGGTCTTTTTAGTGGTTGGCAGCCCGTTGAGCGCTAAACTGTTGACCACGGTCACTCCTCTGATATAATAGCCTGGTAGAGGAAAGCCCCCGGCGGATCACCACGCTGAAGATCTCTTCCCCTGAAACAGGTCGGCATGCGGAAAGGATGCTGCAACAAGCGACGAACAAAGGGTCGGAGAAGCACCGGAGCCTGGCCCTCTAGCATGCACAACCATAAGCCCAAGTGAACCGGAGGCAGCCTTGATAAGTCTGCCCTCTTCTGTTGGCCCAAACCTTCCAGGGCCCTGAGCTGCAGGGCCTGAGCCTCCGCTCGCCAGGCGGTTGCCACGGGCGGGTCGCACGCGGAGAACCTAAGTTCTTGGCCCAAGCATCCGAGACCAGGCAGGAACACGTGAGGGTATGCGTTTCAGCTAGTTGGGATAGACCAGCGAGTGACAGAGAGAGAGAAAGAGACGGACATCTGGTCAAGAAAGGTTCAGGCTGAGGCTTAATTTCCCTTATCATCTGGGAGCTGGACTCCGCTATTCGAGTCGCAGGTGATCTGGACGGTGTATGGAAACTGGCCTGGCCCATCCATGAAGGTTCAGAGCGAATCGAAGACTGTGAGCCAGCCCATGCTGTGCTGCGATACTCAGCAGCAAAAACGCCTTCAAGTAGCCAGGTCAAAGTCAAAGATTACTCCATTCTGGCTTTGGCCCTGAACCAAAACTGACAATCCATGCGTCCATCGCGGGCCAGCCTTGCGAAGACTCAGCATGAAGCATGCGAGCAGCCTTGGTGAAACTGAAGCTGCCATTAAGGGGCCCGGCACGATCCACAGGAGCTGGAGACCTCTTTTGGTAGTTGTACAGTATCAGCATCAGCTACGATCATCGGCTGAAGGAACCTGCGTTGGCCATGCGCTGGCCAGCGGCTTCTCGTATACCTATTGTCACAGTCTATATAGTTGCCTTCAGCTTCATTGGGTCATCTAAACCTGATTCTAATCATAATCCAATCACATTCGTATGCCTACCTCTGCCTGACGCTCCCAAAATCTGATCCTGAGGATTGGGCATTGGCTGCTGCCCCGTGTGCAGTAGCAGCTGCATCGCCCGCTTCCGGCCCCTGCCAGCACAAAATTGCCGGAAAGTACGAAACTTGAAGAAGCAACGTAGGTAAATGTTGAACCCAATAAAATAAACATGCGACGGCATCTATTTGGTGGACGGAAACCATGAGTCAGAAGAGCACCAGGCACATTGCAATTAATGCCCTATAATAAGGACCCTAAGCCCGCCAAAGCCTTCAAGCCGAAGATATAGCTTCTAAAAACTATGCAAGCGAAAAGGCACACTAGTCGTAGCCGCAGCCGCAATACGAGCATTAGTTCTGACAACGACAGAGATCGTGGCGGTAGTGCTGCAAGTGAGCCTTTGAAAAAGCCCCCTGCAGTTAGTCCAAGCCCGAAACTCGAACGCACGGCAGCTGTGCAGGACATCTGCCAAAGCCTGACATGATCCTGACATGTCTAAACTTACCGAAGCCTCAGGCAGAAAGATCTCTAGCTTGAAGCCTTCCTTGATGCCCACCGGTTGCACTAAACTGAAGCCCCGAAGCTCAAAAGCTGGATCGAATTGCAAGTCCTAGTTCAAACCGTTCAAACAGCAGCCCTCAGAGTGGCCCACAGGGCCATAGAGTAAGTGTATCTGTTGTGTCTGGGGTCTCCCCAGAGTTGCGGCGTGGAGTTTTGAGGCGAAAAAAATTCTCAAGAGTTTGGGTCAAGTTATG